TCTCCATTCCCTTTCGTATTCGATATATAAGCGAATCAAGTACACTGGTACAGATTAAAAAAAAAAAGTTATATGCTTGATACCCATCTGTGACCCGCTGCTTGACACCCGCACGCATGACACGCATGACACGGTCGCGACCTTGAATAATCTAAAACTCTCTGACACGGTGTCACGTTCTTCCAATCGTATTGATTAATTTTCTTTTATTTCTTTAATCCTTTATCGATCTCTGTGACTCGCCTTTATCCAGCATCAAGGGCGTGCATCACCAGCCGTTGGGAGATGTGGATTGAAGGGCGTCCTCTCTGCGTGGGTGGGTTCCTGTGCTGGAGCCACGCCCTCTTTCACTTTTGTAAGTAGTAAGCCACGCCCTGTTTCATCTTGAGTAAGCCACGCCCTCTTTCACTTCACTGTTTAAGCCACGCCCTGTTTTCACTTGAGTAAGTAGTAAGCCACGCCTGTTCATCTTGAGTAAGTAGTAAGCCCACGCCCTGTTTCATCTTGAGTTAGTAGCCAGCCGTCCACGCCCTGTTTCATCTTGGTAAGTAGTAAGCCACGCCCTGTTTCACTTTTGTAAGGTAGTAAGCCACGCCCTGTTTTACTTTTGTAAGTGTAAGCCACGCCCTGTTTCATCTTGAGTAAGCCACGCCCGTGTTTCACTTTTGTAAGTAGTAAGCCAACGCCGCTGTTCACTTTTAGTATACGCACGCCCTGTTTCACTTTTGAGTAAGCCACGCCCTCTTTCACTTTTGTAAGTAGTAAGCCACGCCCTGTTTCATCTTGAGTAAGCCACGCCCTGTTTCACTTTTGTAAGTAGTAAGCCACGCCCTGTTTCATCTTTTGTAAGTAGTAAGCCACGCCCTGTTTCATCTTGGTAAGCCCACGCCCTCTTTCACTTTTGTAAGTAGTAAGCCACGCCTGTTTCATCTTGAAGTAAGCCACGCCCTCTTTCACTTTTGTAAGTAGTAAGCCACGCCCTGTTTCATCTTGAGTAAGTCTGCACTTTTGTAAGTGTGAGCCACGCCCTGTTTCATCTTGAGTAAAGCCACGCCCTGTTTCATCTTGATAAGTAGTAAGCCACGCCCTGTTTCATCTTGAGTAAGCCACGCCTTTTCATCTTGGAGTAAGTAGTAAGCCACGCCCTGTTTCATCTTGAGTAAGCCACGCCCTGTGTTTTGTAAAGTAGTAAAGCCACGCCCTGTTTCATCTTGAGTAAGTAGTAAGCCACGCCCTGTTTCACTTGAGTAAGTAGTAGCCACGCCCTAGTTAGTAGTAAGCCACGCCCTGTTTCATCTTGTAAGTAGTTAAGCCACGCCTACTTTGTAAGTAGTAAGCCACGCCCTGTTTCATCTTGAGTAAGTAGTAAGCCACGCCCCTGTTTCATCTTTAGTAAGTAGTAAGCCACGCCCTTTTTCACTTTTGTAAGTAGTAAGCCGCCCTGTTTCATCTTGAGTAAGTAGTAAGCCACGCCCTGTTTCACTCTTGTAAGTAGTAAGCCACGCCCTCTTTCACTTTTGTAAGTAGTAAGCCACGCCCTGTTTCATCTTGAGTAAGTAGTAAGCCACGCCCTGTTTCACTTGAGTAAGTAGTAAGCCATGTTTCATCTTTGTAAGTAGTAAGCCACGCCCTGTTTCACTTTTGTAAGTAGTAAGCCACGCCCTGTTTCATCTTGAGTAAGTAGTAAGCCACGCCCTGTTTCATCTTGTAAGTAGTAAGCCACGCCTTTCAGAGTAAGTAGTAAGCCACGCCCTGTTTCATCTTGAGTAAATAGTAAGCCACGCCCTGTTTCATCTTGAGTAAGCCACGCCCTCTTTCACTTTTGTAAGTAGTAAGCCACGCCCTGTTTCATCTTGAGTAAGCCACGCCCTCTTTCACTTTTGTAAGTAGTAAGCCACGCCCTGTTTCACTTTTGTAAGTAGTAAGCCACGCCCTGTTTCATCTTGAGTAAGTAGTAAGCCACGCCCTCTTTCACTTTTGTAAGTAGTAAGGCCACGCCCTGTTTCATCTTAGTAAGTAGTAAGCCACGCCCTGTTTCATCTTGAGTAAGCCACGCCCTGTTTCACTCCCACGCCCTGTTTCATCTTGAGTAAGTAGTAAGCCACGCCCTGTTTCATCTTGAGTAAGCCACGCCCTGTTTCATCCCACCCTGTTTCAGTAAGCCACGCCCTGTTTCATCTTGAGTAAGCCACGCCCTGTTTCATCTTGAGTAAGCCACGCCCTGTTTCATCTTGAGTAAGCCACGCCCTGTTTCATCTTGAGTAAGCCACGTCCTGTTTCACTTTTGTAAGCCATCTTTATAAGCTGAGTTTTGTTTCACCTTTTAAAAACTATATCCTGGTTCTCCTTTATAAGCTACGTCCTGCTTCATCTTTTAAAAAACATGTCCTGTTTCACCTTTTAAAAGCCATGGCCTTTTCAAAGCCACGCCCTGTTTCACCTTTATAAACCGCGTCCCATTTCACTTTATAAATTTTGCTGTGTAGGTGGGTTCCTGTGCTGGAGCCACGCCCTGTTTCATCTTTATAAGCTGCGTTTTGTTTCGCCTGTTTCATCTTTATAAACGTCCTGTTCATCTTTTAAAAACCGTGTCCTGTTTCCCTTTTAAAACCCCCTGTTTCACCTTTTAAAAGCCATGGCCTGTTTCACCTTTATAAGCCACGCCCTGTTTCACTTTTATAAGCCACGCCCTGTTTCACCTTTATAAACCGCGTCCCATTTCACTTTATAAATTTTGCTGTGCCTGCTGTGTGATATGAAGAGTGCGCTGTCTTGGCCGTCCGTGGGTGGCCTGGCGCGCGGGCGATTTGAATGGCTTTAGAGAAATACCTATGGAAATTCTTTGGGAGCAGGAGTCGGTCCTGGCCCTCATTTTAATACATCCTGCCTCCTTCGTGAGGTTCTGAGACAAGCCCCTGCGTTAAGGTTTTAAGAAGGATTTAGGATTTGTCGGAGGTATTTGACCTCATCTACGCAGAATTTTGGACTAGAAATGGACCTTGTTATCTTCATCAGTCGAATACCGCAGGCTGGCGTCACCCTGAAAGATCGCTGTGTCCAGAGGCCGCAAATTCTGACACTCTATCTCCTGATGAATCTGTCGGATGCATACATATCACACACACACACACACACCACACACACATACACACACACACACATACAACACACACATACACACACACACACACACACACACACACACACACACACACACACACACACACACACACACACACACCACACACATATATATATATATATATATATATATATATATATATATATATATTGTGTAGGTGTTTATATATGTAGTGTCTATATTATAAATAATATATGTATGTATATATATATATATATATATATATATATATATATATATATATATATATATATATATTATATTGTGTAGGTGTTATATATGTAGTGTCTCTATGTAAATATATGTATGTATGTATGTATGTATATATATATATATATATATATATATATATAATATATATATATATATATATATATATACATATAGGTGTTTATATGTAGTGTCTATATATAAATATATATGTATATATATATATATATATATATATATATATATATATATATATATAGAGAGAGAGAGAGGAGAGAGAGAGAGTACAGTGAATGTATAATGTGTGACACCGAACAGGATGTGACTAAGAATGAACAGTTCCACAACACAAGGCACGTGCAGTTCTACGTTCTGTTGTAGCAGTGACTAGGCCTACCCTACTGGAATGTTTATGCTCTGCGATAGTTTCACACATCCGGTTGCATTTTTGGGTAATATGTGAGTGCAATGTAAACAAAAAGAAACGTTCATGAGACAGTTTCCTTTAAAGTGTAATTTGGAAGGAACTTTAGAAATAAGAGCAAAACTAAATACATTAGAGCAAGCATTGATGTCACTGACGCCCCGAGACCGAAGTAGAGAGAGGAGCAACCACCACGTCGACGAGACCCGAAAGACGGTGGTTTCAAGTCGTCCGTGACTCCTCGAAATCTCCACGAACACCACGGTTGCTTGACGGACACTGGAGCACCGTGGATCGTTCCAGAATGTTTCCGAGCGTCTGATGTTGCTTTCGCCGAGCTGCCATCCCAGCCAGCCCCTGCCCCCCCCCCCCCCCTTCTCCCAACCTCTCGCAGCCTTGACCTGGATTGCAAGCACAGTTGGCGGCTTTCTCTCGTGTCTTGCACTCAGATGGAGGCGCATCCCGGAGTCGTGAGCTGTGTGATGGAAGGTCGCCAGTGAGCACTTCGCGAGCACGGACGAATAACGACTGTCTATAAATCCTGGAGTGTGTAAGCTTTTAGTTCAGGGAACAGAGATGAGGGATTGATGGCATCTGTTGATACGGGTTCACGTGAGTACAGGCAATGGAAGAAGCTCAAGTAACAAGTGAAGTGAACAGATTTTGACGATTTTAAAATGATAAACTGAAAAGTGATTTTACAAATGGCATATCTTATTGATCCATATATTGTATTTGAAATAGGTATGGCATTTAACGTCAAACTTCCGAATAGACTTTAAATAGACCCAAGTACTCCAAAATGGTCTTTTCGGCGCCCTAACAGGACAGTTTCGACGCTTGACCATTCGCCCAGAAGTCACGTCGGAAAGGAGGAGTGGCCGGCAGAGGCACTGGGGACACCGCCATGCCAGGGAGTAAAAATAATTCTTCGTTTCTCTGTTTTTCTTTTTTTTTTTAATCATACACACGTGCCGTCATTGGATCGTATTCATTCACATTTGTTATACCCGGTTTTAAATGACCAGCATCTATCTTATTGTTAATGCCCCCGCGGTTGTCACACAGCCCCTGAATATTGCATCTCCGCGTGTGTGACTTTGCATTATCATCGGGGTAATAGGATTAAATTTGTCACATGGTGGGAGGATCAGGCGAGGAGGGGAGGCTGGAGGGGTGTGTCAAGATCTCAAGTCTTCGCTCGAGCAGTAGGTGTCTCCTCAG